CAAGAGTACCCCTCTGCTTCCGGTAGAACCCAATGAATGATTGCACTTTTCTCCCTACTGTTTTATCGGTTTTCGTTAACAATGTTAGCAAGAGGATTCACGTCTCCTCTCTTAAGGAAGCATTTCAGGCATATGGTGTTGTTTTGGGTGTTTTCATTGCGTATAGGAGTAGTAAAAGACAATCTGAGGGTTCTACGTTTACGTTCGTAAGGTTCAATAGTATATCTGAAGCAAATAAAGTTGTTTTTTAGAGCGGACGGTAGGATGATGGATAGGTACAAGATCAGAGTTTTCCATGATAAATCGCCTGGTAGCCAAAGGAAGAGGGTAGTTGCTGAAAAAAGTGTTAAAAAGGTTTGGAAACCAGCTTTTAGAGACGCCAGGTCTTTCAGAGAAGTTACGGAAGGTGTTCAGGTTGAAGGTGGGAAGCCATGTGAGAAATTTGATGGACAAGCTGGAAACTATTGAGGCGTTGATCTGGTTGTGCATGTAAATGTTGTTGATGATAAAGATGCTAGTTCTTCTTCAATTCCCGAGGGTGTTTACAGGAACATTTTAATCCCCAAGAAGGAGCTTTCGTGGGCAAAGAGAAGTTTGGTTGGTAAAATTAAAAACAACTATAATGATGTTATTATCGAACCAACTTTTAAAGCTAAAGGTATGGACGTGAAAGTGAGTGTTTGGCATGATCTGTTAATGATTATTCAGTTTCGTAATGATTTCGATCGCCAGGTTTGTTGGTCTAATAGAGATGAATGGATTCGTTTATGGTTCGATGAGTTGGAATTAATGGAAGGATATGAGAATAGAGTAAAAGTTAAAGTTTGGGTTTCTTAGAAGGATATCCCTCTATCTATTTGGAGTGTGAAGCTTTTTTATATGTCATTGGTAGCTTGTGGGGAAGAGTCATTCTGATCGATAAAGAAACTTCTGATCGCGATAGGTTTGACGTTGCAAGAGTGTTGTTGAAAGTTCAGTCTGAATCTTCTATTCCTGAGAAAATGTCCATTATGTTCAATGGAAATTGTTATTCCATTAAAATTTCTACGGAAGTGCAGGAAGAGACTAGAGCCTTCATTGATGGAACCATGGTGGGGGTGGAGCGTGGTGTGCTGAATATGAAGAATGAACAAATCTCCCAATCTTCGAGGTTGTGCGTGCTGCAGGCGTGGGTCTCAAGGAAGGTTTGGATGGGCAGGAGCAGATTGTGTCGAGCAGTCAGAGGTGTGATAATATTTATGGTTTCTTGGAAGGTGGTGCGGTGCATACAGGAGTTAACGTGGAAGGTATGGGTGTCTCTGAAGAAGGGTTGCACGATGTTCCCATCTTTTTTAATAGTGAGCCAGTGGAGCAGCACGTTATTGATGAGAATGTTGGGATAATAACAATTAATAGGGATCCGGATTTTATATGGGCGTCCAATTCTATTTCCAATTGCTCAAGGTTTCTAGAGGTGCCTATTGCTGAGGTGTCTTCCATCAGATTTTTGGATGAGGTTAATTCTATCGAAAATCGTGATAGAAGGTTTGGGAATGGAAAGAAGAGGAATAATGATCCTCTTAATTCGTTTGTTGATAAGTCACAAAATTCAAGCTCGAGGGGGGCGAATCAGGTCAGTCTTAAAATTTCCAAGAGGTTATTCAATGCAAAAAGGCAGAAGCACGGTTTCTAGGGTAGAGATGCAAGTTTAAATGTTAGTAGCAGCGGTAAGCATAATGGATTTAAAGATGGGAAGCACGATGGTGGCAAGGAGGGCGTAACCACTGAAGCGGCGAAGGCACTTGCTGTTGCAGAGGCTTTGGGGGTGGAATTCGTGGGGTCGAGAAGGGACGTCTTGAAGAGGTTAGAAGCGCTTTGATCAAATGGGGTTATGGGCGAATTACTTATGGCCAAGGTGGTTACCAATGGTGTCTGATTTTATTTGAAATCCGGTAACTATCGTTCGTGGTGTGTGTTGATGGAGATTTCTAGTGCTGCTAGATTCAGCTTATGGTGGTCCATTTCGGGTAGTGTTTCTGAATTGAGAACAGGTTGTTTACCGCTTGGTCATGAAGTTCTTAACAAGTGTTTCTAGTGCTAGATTTGCCTTAGAAGAATTCAGCTATGTTATATTTGGTATAGAGAAAAAGTTGAATCTTCTCGTGTGGTCACTTGGTGCTCGTTTGGTTCGGTGCTGGTACATTCAGAAGTGGGTAAATGATTTTTTTTATCCTACTTTTGATTTTGGTTCTTTCATTTCTGATCCAGAACTCTTGATTTCGACAGTGTCTTCTGTCGAGAGTCTTTCCATCGGTGGTTGCATTAATTTTCCGTTAATCAAGATGCTTATCTATACATGGCTCATCATTCTCTTTTACTGTTCTAGTAGCCATGCTGGGGCTACGCATAGTGGTGCAGTGGCGTTGTATCCAGGTTTTTGTTTCTGCTCAGTTCTCTGAATTCTCTAATCACATGCTGTCTCGACTCTTGCTCGGTGTTATCTGCCAAAGGTCCATTATCTCATGTATTTTGTTCTAATATGTCGGGGTTCTGTCTTACCTTATTTCTAGATTATTAAGTCGTGGTGTTTTGTCTAGTAACCATTGATAGGCTTATGCTCAATTGTCTTATGTTTCGGAGGTTGTAGCATGGTTTTGTTCAACTTTTGGATGTGTGTAGTTTATTTTTGTATTTCCTACAGGGGCTAGTATGTAGCTATATTGTGGTAGCTTGTTACGGGTTGTTCTAGTGGTGTAGTTCTCGGCTTTTGTTCTTGTGTTATTAGGGTTCATGATGATACCTTTTTTCCATCCCAAGGTTCACTCTTTTTCCTCTACTTAGGATTAGGGAGGTTTTTTAATGAGGTCTTTGGGGTGGTGTACTTTGCGATATCTAATACAAAGTACCCATTTTTCAAAAAAACATCCCACAATTATAATCAATCCAAAGTAGGTTTTGGAATATATTTACAAACCCGAATAGAGTCAAACCGAACTTTTTCTTCATTTTCAAATTGCAAGCAGCCTTGTAAATCTTGTTCGATTGAAACAACGTACGATTGACCATGTTAGTTTCATTCTAGGTTTTCATGAAAAATAATGAAAAATAACTTAATGAAAAGTGAAGAAAACTACAAAAATGGGCTACCTCTCATTAGAGTGCCTTTGTTTAACATCGTTTGTTCAAGGACCTGGTTCTGACTACAGGTTCTTCGAGAATGATTTCTTCGACCATACAAGCTTGGTGGTTCTCATAAAAATTCTTTAACCATTGACCATTCAACTTGAAACAAATTTTCGATTCATCTTGAATTTCAACTGTGTCATGTGAAAATACTTGAATCATGATAAAATGTCCTAGCCACTTCGTTTTAGGTTTTCAAATAAATATAGAGAAGTAGATATTTTGGTTTCTCATCATTAGGTAAGAAATGAGTTTCTTGGTGGCATCACACAGTCCTTCTTACTTTATTTTAAACAATATTTTTAAATTAATTTAGGATGCTTACAAATGATAGTATTTGTTTTAAATAATATTTTTTAACCAAAACATTTTATCTTAAAAAAATAAATGGAATTCAAAAACTGAATTTAGTGGTAAGACGGTATGTTTTCTTCCGTTGATTCGAATTTGAAAAATATTATCTATAAAATATACATAAATTTATTTAATCATGTAACATATAGATAATACTATGAGACTATATATGATATGTTAAAAAATAATAAGTGACACAACTAGGAACGTATGTATAATTTTATGTTGGAGTGAACTTCTAAAATTTTAGGAGATGAAAATTTTAGGGGACAAAAACATTTTTAATAGAAATTATATTAAAAAAAAATTAGTGGACGATTGCTGCCACATGTCTCCCTCGATCCTATCCCTGGACACCAGAATAAAGGCTATTTATTCGATTTGAAGATTGGAGGAAATGAGTTTGTCTCGGCCCGTATAAAGCCTTGGGTGACTCGACTATCTTTGTATAGGATCCAAGTGGAAACAAAATCGAAAAAAACACATTTAAGTTGACTGACTCAACTATTTTCTTTCGTTTAATGACTTGATTAAGTTTGAAGAAGGTTGCTGTAGTTTGCTTTCAAGTTAAAAAAGAATTTAGATTAGTCCAAGAACTAAAGAGTAGCAATTTTTTACCCACTAAATTAGATTAACTCACATCCTATTTCTCTCAAATCGCATAATCCTTGAAAAAAGATAACTTGTAAACTTAAGAATTTAAACTTTAAATCCTTTGATTATCACTGGATAAATTAATTGAGTTCATATTTATTCTTCTTTCAATCACGCATATGTCAAATTTGATGAAAGCATATTTTGAATAAATTTCTTTATTTTTTTTATAAATATCGATATTCATAACTTAAAATGATCAAATATTAAAAGTAATTATATCTTAAATAATCAATAGGTTTGTATTACCCATTGTTAGCGGTTCATTTATTCTAATTTAGGTGAAGAGTACAGTCGATGAAGGAATGGTTGTTAGCCCGTATTTTTGTAGAGGAGAGTTGGTCATGAAGTATGAAAAAGAAAATATAGAGATCGTGAGGGTTCCAACATTTTTTCCAATCTTGATTTAGAATATTTATAATAACTTTTAGTGTGCGTCTCAATTGCAGGGTTATTATAACTATTTGTAGACTAACGTGCTAGATAGTTCTATTTATCAGACCTTTAATTACATCTTAATAAGTCACACAGACCTATAAAAAATATTGTCTATATATTATAGTTGGCTAAAAAAAATAACCTTTGAAGAATGTCAGTTAGTCGGAGGCTCTAGAGAGATCTTGAGACTCTGGTTGGTGTAGAGTTGACAATTCATGTGGATTTTGTTTGATGGAGAGTAAAACAATTCATAGGTCGTCTAGATATAACAATACCTAATCTAAAATGTTAGAAAACTTTACAGAGAAAAAAATGATAAATACTCAAAATTTCATCAAAAGATATATTTAGATGTAATCAAAATGTTTACAATTGTATAAAAATTTAGAGTTCTGATAATAATTAAAATATCTTTTTATAATATTTTAGAAGTAAACTTTTTATTTGTAACTAGTTTACACTTGTACTTGATACTCATGCTGGGCACTGAAATCCTGGAGGTGGAGTCTTGCCACAATCGACGAGGACCTGAAGCCCAATTGGTAATAGAACATTGATGTTCAAAAACTTGGCCTTGATCGCGGTGCAAAGACAAATAGCGGCATCCAAGTCCAACAGCCCTTGAAGCACCGGGCAACATGTATCCTTTGCGCTGCTGCCTATACCGATGTGCACTAGGCCACCCAACACGTCAACACAAGCACCTAACTTGAGAGTGTCGATGGGGCATGTTTGCTTCGCCGGAGGTGGTGGATATGGCACGGGTGGCGGTGGCGGACACGGGGTCTCCACTGGAGGTGGCTTCAAGACTGGAGGACTCGGGTATACAGGAGGCTTTGGAGGCAGAGTTGGGGGCTTCACAACCGGTGGCTTTGGTGGTTTAGGGTGAAATGGAGGCTTTACAATGGGAGGATGTTTCGGTGGACAATTTGGCGGCGGAGTCGGGAGGGGACATTCGGGACAGGCAAGACAAGTGAGCAAAGCTCCCAAGTTAAGAAGCAGCAAAATGAGTAAACTATACTTCCCCGTCATTAAGCTCCCAAGTTTATGCTCAATGACTCGTTCAAATGATGTATTTATAGATAGATCAATCATGCAAAGTAACATTTGTTTTTGGATCACTTATTGACTTTGGTAAACTCCATCTCCAAGTTGCAAAATTTTATCATACAAACTCAATTCATTATCAGACAGGGATCAATCATGATATTATTTCAATGAGAAGATTTTCTACGTTTGAAGGACAAGGCGATGGAGAAACCGCGTGGTTGATTTTAACTGGTAGTGCCCAGTTGGACCCATGATTTCCTGCTTGCCTTGCAATTTGCATGTTCCGACAAATGTTTGCAAATATTACGATCGCAACGACATGTCCTCCATCCTCACCCACCGGATATTTTCTTTTCTTTTCTTTTCTTTTCACGTAATTAACACGTTCGACAGTGATGAGAGGCCCTCCGAAATTTAGACCACACTGTGACCCATGTTCCTTGTCGGCCAGATATGTACAAACACTGCACAACCCTAGATAGTCAGAAATAGGAAATATATCCATAATTTAATAATAGCATATACATAATTTACACTATATTTATAATACAGTTGCGTTGATTATTTTCTATAAATATTTAAGATAAATTTATGTTATATAAATTGTAAATTTTATGCTCAACAAAAAGAAATGAACATGAAGATATTTGGGAATTCTCTTACTTACCTGAAACCTTACAATTGCTAACAGTAAACCTTTGCTGGATAAGATAGAGGCACATTTTTAAACTTGGACTGCTAGGTACTAGTTTTATGTAGGTAATATTCAACTTTTACAGGTTGTCATTTTTTGTATACAGAATTTTTGGAGCAGACAAATGACCTTTTCTAAAGCTGTTTTGCTCTGAATTAATCAACTTTGTGCAAGGTTCTTTTGAAAGAATGATGACTCAATAGCGAGAGGTGCAAGAATGACTTGGAGTGCTATCTGCTACCCTAAGTTTAAAGGGGGGGGGGGTCTTGGACTCAAAGATTTGGTGACCTGAGTAATGCACACTTACTGCATCTCATCAAGAATATTCAGAAAAGAGAAAGTTCTGTCTGAGTTGCTTCAAGTTATGAATATATTCTAAAGGGGCCCGATTTTTGGCAAGTATCAAAGAGATTGTTGAAGCCGAGATCTGTTGTTTCAGCCGATATTAATTTTTTCTAATCTAAAATTTGGAAAAATTTAGGAAGTTATTAGACAGAAGAAAGAGAAGTCGCTATGGCACAAACTAATTTGGCATTCCTTCCATATTCCAAAGCATTTAGTGATTGCTTGAATAGTCATTTTAAACATGTTGCCTACTAAATATATGTCGATCTTTTATGATATTCTGAAAAGAGAAGAAGAAACAAGAAATCATATGTTCTAATTACTCTAAAAATGTGTGGATTGGTGCATTGCGAACTTGTACCTTGCAGAGAGAAGTTATGGGTTAAAATATAGAGCTTGGTTGGGTCAGTAGGAAGATTAAAGGGGAATCTTTGCCACTGTTATTTCATTTATCTACCTTATGTGGAAGAGAGGAACTTAATAAATTTTCAGGCCCATGAGCACTTCTTTTTCTTTTTAAATACTTGGTATATTTACACATTGTGTAAGAACACATGATAAACTTGGAAAATATCCATATCTTACACTCGTCCATGTACCCAAATCAGCTTAACATGGCAGATACATGCTCTTGGAAACAAATCAGCTTAACATGGCAGATACATTATTTATTTATTCTCATTATTTATATTTGTTGAAGAAAAATTTTGACGACTCCACCTTTAGCGATTCTTCCTTTTTTTATCATATCAATGAGAGAACAATCGTTGGTTGGTTGGTTGATATGAGAAAGAGTAAGTTAGTTTGGAAAAGATAAAAAATGATCCATTAATTATGGGCGGCCCATCCTTCTTTACGATCATGATTGAGAGTATTTGTAATGATATTTAGGTTGTGTTTGTTTTTACAAAGATAAAAGGTCTGCAGTCTGCGAATCACATCTGCAGGCATCTGCAGCAGAAGAGGTGAACCAAAAGTCTGCAGTCTGTAAGAAGAATATTGTTTGTTTTTTAACGTCTGCAGACTGCTAAAATAAACTGAAATATAAATAAACTGATTTTTTAAACTTAAAAGAGTTTTGCAATACTGAAATTTAAATAATTTTAGTTTTATAATACTGAAATTTAAATAATCCATACAACTACAATAATAAATTTTTTAAAATAAATCAATCCATATTTTAAAATAAATCAATTCATAATTTAAAATAAATTTTTTCACATTTTAAAATAATTCAATCCATATTTTAAAATAAATCAATCCATATTTTAAAATAAATCAATCCATATTTTAAAATAAATTTTCCCGTATTTTAAAATAAATCAATCCATATTTTAAAATAAATCAATCCATATTTTAAAATAAATCAATCCATATTTTAAAATAAATCAATCCATATTTTAAAATAAATCAATCTATATTTTAAAATAAAAAATCCATATTTTAAAATAAATTTTTCTTTATTTTAAAATAAATCAATCTATATTTTAAAATAAATTTTAAAATAGATTTAAATAATTTTAATTTCTTTGAAGAGGTTTGAAGACCTTTGAAGACATAAAACGATGTCTGCACCAAGAAGACATCACGTAGACGTTAGAAGAGCTTCTGTCTTCTAAAAAACAAACGGTCTGCGAAGCTCAATGTCTGCGCGTGATCTACACGGCACAAACATAAGAACTTTGCAGACCTCACACAGTAAAAACAAACACCACCTTAATGTGTCTGTGAGTCCTATGATCATGATATCTATTTGTAGATTAAACAAATTAGATAAATTTGGTGATGAGATCTTAAATTCATCCTGACTCATCATATGAGTTTGTCAGACTTGTTTATGTATCGTAACTTATCATAAGTTTGTGTTCAGAAGATGTAGGCCAATTGGAGACGAGAAATTTTCAAAAGTATAATAATATTGATTATTCCGACATGGTAAAATATCGCCTATTATAATGATGATAGATATAAGTTTTTTAGGGGTAGTTACGTCATACGACAACCTTAATAATATACAACTAATAAAATGCGTTACCGAAAATGTTAATATTTTTTAATATTTTCGGTAAAAAATTATCTAAAATATTATTATTTTTACCTAAAACATTAATGTTTTTTAACATTTCCGGTATAGTGCCCAATATTAATATTTCTGGTAGAAAAAATAATGTTTTAGGTAGCACTTTACTAGATATGTTAAACATTTTCGGTAAAGTGTCCAATGATAACATTTTTTACCTCAACGTGACGAGTTCCCTCTATTTTTTTGAAAATTCTAGCTGTTGGGATTGAGGCTATAAATAGGGGTTTGGGTTTAGATTTTTTACCATCATTTGTTATGAACAAATTTGAGCAAAATTCGTATTTCCTAAAGAAATCTTGAAAAATGGAGATGTTATGCCTCGATAATGTTCATATTTCGTTGATTGAACTCCGTCCGAAAAAAGAACAGAGCATTCATCAGCTTAAGATGACATTGAGAGATCTGCATAAGCGAATGATTCTATATCTTCAACAATCTGGTCTATATCCAACCATATTTGTACGTGGCTTTAAGGTGTACCCGATCGATAATGTTCATATCTTGTCGATCGAACTCTGTCCGGAAGAAGAACATAGCATTCGTCAACGCAAAATGACATCGAGAGATTTGCATAAGCGGGTGATTCTATATCTTCAGCAATCTGGTCTATATTCAACCATATTTGTATGTGGCTTTAAGGTGTACCCGACGTTGATTTCGACTCTGATTGAACTTTGGAGGCCCGAGACGCACACTTTCCATTTTTGGAGTGGTGAAGCGACGATTACTTTGGAAAACATCACTTACCAACTCGGTGTTCCTATGAATGGTGTCGTTGTCGTCAGGCGGAACGATTACAACCCATCGATAAGGTCAATAAAGTTTTGGGAAGGTTGCTACCATCCGAGTTCATGGACAACTATCGGATATGGATGACGTGGTTGGAGTCCGAATTTCAAGTGATTAACAACTCTACCGGAGAGAAGGCTATTTTTGCATCCCGAACATAACTTCTCCAACTGATCAAAAGGATATTATTACAAGATAAATTCGATAATTTGTTGCACACAAAATATCTGCCTATATTAAATAATTTCAATGAGTGTCTTAATACCAATTGGGGCTAGGTGATTTTAGCGTTTTTGTATTGGGAGCTTTACAGGGCTACAATCGTCGATCGGGGTTGAAAAGACAATGTAGCAGGCTGTCTAATTTTGCTACAGTCATGGGAATGATATTGATTGTCGTTTTTTATGCCAATTATAACAACCCTGGTTTAATTTCCTCTGACTTGAAGGTAATTTTTTAACTTCACTTTTTAACTAATTTTTTAATATATATATATATTTAATCGTTTTTAATATATTTTTAACTTCAATTTTATAGTTAATATTTAGAGTTTTCTTGGCTTCCATATTACGACAAAGAGATCTACTGATTATTACCAGCGGGATTTTTTATAGGTTTGATTTATGGTATATCGTAACTCCATTATTACATTTTCTAATTGATAGAGTGTTGCGACGGTTTGCGTCTTATCAACATATTCCTACGCAAATATGGGATATGGACGCGCTCTATAGAATTGATTTACGTGGGATACATAACGAATATTAGCCGAGGAAGCACGATATCTACATTAAGCAATGGAATCAACATCAGTTATAGGTCTTCATACGTTACGAGATTACACCGATGGACCTAGATTTCTATCAATCTCCCTATCTCTGAAATTACGGAGCAAATGTGAAACTATATCTCATGACAACGGAAGAGATGGGAGAATGATAACAACACAAGGCCAGATTTGCCAAGTCGAAGAAATCATTGTCATCTTCCGCTTTAGCATATGCATTTGAAGATTATTATTATACATCTCAAGTTAGTTTCAGTTTCTATACTACATATCATACTTCAACCGAGACTCAGCCGACTTGGGTTGGAGCT